ATAAGAGGAGGCGACCATGTTTTTGTTTAATAACATTTCCTGAGTGCATGCTATGTGCTGGGCATTCTTCTAAGTACATTACCCATTTCAGCTTATCTCATCTTTGCAACAGCACTGCTATCACTATCAGTTTACAGGTGAGGCAACAGAAGCAAAAAGAGGCTTGTCTACATTAACAAACACAGGAGGTGGGACTCAAAGCTACATAGCCTTGCATCTGGTAAGTATTACTCTTACAAACAATTAAGGAATATGGTGCTCAGAATTAAAATAAACACATATTTTTCTGTTTTGTGCAGGGTTTGTTCTTGTATTGTTTTTGAGATAGAGTTTTTGAGATACAGCTCCAGCTGGTTGAGAACTTAGAGTATAGCTAAGATTAGCTCTCAAACTTACAGCAATCCTCCTGAATCCGCCTCCTGAGTATTGGTCAGATTTCTCAGGAATATAAGGGGTTTCACCCTGGAAGACCTATCTAGCTATGCAGAATGGTTTCACTGCTTGTCAGCTAAACCCAAGAGGATCAAGAGTAGCTGGACAGGTAAGGGTGGAATGAGCTTCTATCTTATACAAACTCCTGTATTTCCAGATGAGTAATCAGAATTGCTGATGAAGATAACAATGGAGAACATGACATTGGGTTTTATCCTCCATTCTGCTTCCTCTATACATATCCTGCATCCTATGCACTAATCTAATATTGTACGTCTTCCTGGAACAGCTATGATGAAGTAATACCCACAGTATGTCTTAGGACTACTGTCGTCTAACATTGGGTCTAGTAGCTTCCTCCGCAGCTGCTTGAGCTGTCTGAATCCTGCAGTTCACAGATGTCTTATCTCTAGCCCCCTTCTGCACTCTCAAGCTGGGCTGGAAACACCTGGTTGCACAAGTATCTCGGTTATCTATGAGAAATGGCATACTTCAGTTTCAAAGCCTATTTCCAAGCTTTGCTTACTTTCCCTCAGCCTGTTCCTTAAAATTTCAAGTTGAATAATACACCAGTAGACTTGGCTTGGTGATACTGTCTTTTCCCTCAGCTCCTCAGAAAAGCAAGGCTATCTATAAATGTCAAGGCCAGGAAGGCACACAGGAGCCCAGTACTTAGTCTTCCCCAGCCCAGGCAGGTACAGACTTATTTTTAAAAGGACGGTGAAAGCAGAAGGGCAATGCTGACACGGTAGTGTTGTGGACTCAGCAGCTATCCTCCAAGACATGATGCCAGGAACCATCACCTTATTTTACCCTGGCATAAATTAAACAAAATCCATTTCCAGATCCTTCATAAAAGAAGTCAAACAAAAATATTCTGAATAGTACTATATTAGAACCTTCACATTCTAGAAAGAAGCATTCCAAACAAGCTCCCAATACAAGGGGGAAAGCCCTTAGTCTGGGGTACCCATAGTTTAGGAGCTCTTTATCTAATCTTCATTCTTTGTTCTCTGCCTGCCTTTCTTTCTTACTTCCGTATCCTTTCTCATATTAGCCTCTTGTTATGTTCCAGCTATTTTATTCAATTGTTCATCTATTCCAACTATGTGAGGGCAGGAGTGGAGAGAGAGCACCGTTTATTTTTCTAGACCCCCTACCACCACCACCCACAAATGTAAACCCCACTTACAGCCCCTTCGCCGTTGAAGCCTGCTGCTGCTGTGTGGAATCCAGATCTTCTGTAACCTGGTTTGAGTGAGTTCTCCCATCTCTTGAGCCATCTTAGACGTTGCAGCAATGACAACACTGACGACAAGGTATTGGACCTCACTACCTATGTTCCTAGCTGTCCTTTCTGATGTCGCAGCCACAGCAGTAGGTGGGCAGGGCTGGGCCAGGGAAATCACTGGGTTTCTGAGCCTCTCAAAGACTATCTCTTTTCCTTCTGCTCCTGTATGTACAAGTTGGGACGTGGGTGCTGAAAGCCAGAGGCTAGGCAGAAGTCAGCAAAGGCCTCTGAACTCTAAGAGCTATGTACATAGAAGATAAGTTGGAGCCCAGCAAGGAGGGGAGCCAGCAAGACAGCCCAGGTCTGACCAGTTACTTCCCGCCAATGAAGACAGGACTAGCAGAGTATGCAAATAAAAAACCCAAAGATCATGTGCTTACATCCTGTGTGGTGTGGCATGACAAAGGTGATGGAGATAGGTCTCAGCTTTGAAATAAAAAAGCAGGCCTAATTACAATGTGAAGCTCCAACACAGATAGAGATTCACACCAGAATTACATGAACCCTCAAAACAAAACCACAAACATAATGGCCCTAATTCAAAATGCAATGTTTTGAGCTAGCAATTTAAGATCCAAACTGGAAGTAGACTTTCACTACCTCACTGCTCATCCTACTCAACAAGGCACTGCAAAAATTGTCCTTCCCTGGAGCTTGCTGTGTGCCTCTCCACAAGACCTCTTCCTTTTTAAAATGAGCTGTCCGGGGCTCCTCAAAGAGATTGGCACTATCTGATCAACTTTATACTCTCTCCAGCCAAGGTTAAATAAATCAAGTAAATCTGACACCTTGTGAATAGGAGTGAATGCAGCCATTGCTGGGCAGAGAGCCGACATGTAAGCGCAGTTCACATGGCTGCCAATGGTATGAGATGACCCAGCAATAACGGCATCACAATCTAATCCAAACCCCAGCTAAAGCTCATCATGCCAAGTTGTTGGGATGGGGGCTTAGGAGAGTGGAAACTGCACTGAGCAAAGTATGCATGAGGGGCAAGAGACAATGACCTATATCTAAACAGCACAATTTCACATGCCAGAGCCACCTCATCCAGATGCCTCCCCTTTACTTGTCCCCACTCTTCTTGCCATTCCCTGGTTATTTTGAGACTTTTATCTGTAGAATTCATGCAACTGCACAGCTCGCCTGGAAGATGTCCAAGTGCCCTTTTACTCCATTCTCTGTAACCTTCCCACCCCCAACAAACCTCCAGTGATTGGGTATTAGGAAGCTCAACTTTCTTCCACTGAGCTGGACTATGCAAGGGCAGTCTCTCAGGAAAAGAAATCTCCAGGCCCTGCCCTCAAATGCTCCCAGCTCCACTCTGCCTTTTAAGAAGCTTCCTAAAATATCTTCTCAGAACTTTCTTCTATTCAAGGGTTAGATTCCCTCCAGTTGCTGTGTCTACATCATATAAGACTTTCAATACCAAAGTCTACCTATGACAATGCACCTACTGTGGCAGTGGATCCCAACAGTTAAGAACAATGGAGTAAGAAGCCACACTGCCTGGGTGGAAACTCACTTTGCCCCATTGCTGGATCTAAGAAACTGGGCAGAAGGCTAACTTTTCAGAGACTTAGCTGTTTTTTGCTTTGTTTTGCTCTTTCATTTGGTATATAGGGAAAGAAAGTAGTGCCTTACTAGCCTTCAGGGCTAGTAAAGAGCCAATATACTGATATACATAAAGAAACCTGGGAAATGTTGAATATATATTATTCAACATTGCTGTTCCATTTGTGAAGTAAATGAGTCGGTTCTTTCAAGTAATCTGTAAACTCTATCATAATATTATGACGCAGGATTAACATTTGCACCATGAAGAGTTCCTGAGCCGGGCGGTGGTGGCGCACGCCTTTAATCCCAGCACGCGGGAGGCAGAGGCAGGCGGATCTCTGTGAGTTCGGGGCCAGCCTGGTCTACAAGAGCTAGTTCCAGGACAGGCTCCAAAGCTACAGAGAAACCCTGTCTCGAAAAAAAAAAAAAACTGAAAAAGAGTTCCTGAGAATCAATTAGAGATAAACTCATTTTCGGTTTCTGTTAATTATGTCTGGCATAGAACGTCAAATCCTACATGTTCTCACTTATTTGCAGAACCTAAAAGATGTTGGTAAGAAGCTGAGTATAGACTAGTGGGAAAAGAAGAGGGGAAGAAAGAACAACTGTTGTGGGCTTCGGGTAGAGAGCAGGACTAACTTCTGATGTTCTAAAGCTGTGCATCAGAAGGATAACAATAGTTGAAAGCAAGTAATTATACTTCTAAGTAGCTAGTAGAAAGGAGAAATGATAAATATTTGAGGTTATACCTATCCCAATTAATCATCGCACATTATATGCACGTATTAAAACATATAGTAGCACACAAGTATGTATAATTAGGTGTCAATTTAAAGTTAAAAAATAACTAAGTCTTTCAGATTAGCAGAGAACCCCTAGAGTCTTAGAAACAGACTTTATAAAACACACGTTTCTTAACTCTAATAAGACACATAACTGGTGGAAGTCTATTTTAAAGATCTTACTAGTCTCTATGGTTTCAAATGTCCACAAAGCATCATTTCATTTATCTTACTTGTTCCTTTCAAACACCCACAGTAAAAACACAGGGAAATGGGTCTGAGGAAGGGACAGCTTGTCCAAGGTAATCTAGCCAATCACATGAACATAACTTTTATGTTTATAAATTTGTCCTTATGACACTGCCAAGAATCAAGAAGATAATTTTAGTAGCAAGAAATCTGAGCTAGGTGGCTAGAAGGCCTCTGACAAGATCTGAAAGGGTAAAAGTCAGGGTCTGGGTTTGATAACCTAATTTAAACCTGTCTATGAAACTTTCCACCATTCTCAGCCCAGAAACAGAATAAAACAAGCCTTCTAGAAATGCCCCAGACTAGCATTCAAACCTCTGCTAAATCTGTCCCAACCTACCTATTCAGTCTGCTATCCCAACAGCATTTTCCTGTCTTTAAGCTTTTGCTTAGCCTGGAGCATCTTCTATTCTCATTGAGCTCTGTCGTGCTCATCAAGATCTGTTTTAGTGTTTCCCTTCTCTGAAAGTCAGCCTTGGAGCCTTGAGAGAGGCTTTGCCCTTGATTCTCATATTGCATATGTATCTCTATGTGAGCAAGGCTTTCTCTTTTCCTAACTAGACTTTGGGCTCCTTGAAAATGGGGCCTGAATCCCTGTGATGTTCTAACTGCTCATCTCAGGCTCTGGCATGGAGGACAGTTGTGCAGTGACTATGTTTACAGCCTACATCTCTCTGCTGCAGATGAGACACATACGGCGATAAGAAATCCCAGTTCACCACGGTAGGTATAACACCTTTCAGGGAATGTGGGAGGGGGGCGGCAGTGATTTGTCTGAGGTAAAGAGGGACATCTAAGAAAGTTTTAAAACTTTGGGATGGAATAGAATAAATAAAATTATAAACTTCCCTCTAAGAAGGTTTAATGTATTGGTTATAGACAGAGTTTACTCAGCATCAGATTTACACTCAAGGCTAAAGGTTGAACCATAAATTTTAAAGTGGGACTATCTCTAGAGAAGAAAACTATAAAATGTGACTTTTGAAGACCTGTGGAGAGTGCTCCCACCTCCAAGTACAGAGTGTGGAGAGGAATCTCATTTAAAGCATCAGAACAGTTCGCATGGGCAATAAAATGATAAATGGAAAGCCAGGTTGTAGTGGCACATGCCTTTATTCCCAGTACTTGGGAGGCAGAGGCAGGCGAATCTCTGTGAGTTAGAGGCCAGCCTGGTCTACAGAGTGAGTACCAGGACAGGCTCCAAAGCTACACAAAGAAACTCTGTCTCGAAGAACAAAACAACAACAATAACAATAATAATAATAAATGGGGTCTGGTTTTGTCAAGTGTTGAAATGTGTGGTTGTGAATGCATTTGCTACAGGCTAGAACGCTGACAGATGGTTGAGCACATGCTTATGGGTTAGATTCATGGATGAGCACAGATCAGGACTTCTCTAACAGCAGCCACCCTGGCCCCCCACTATTTGCAGAATCACATCTGGTAAGCAAAGCTCACTGCATTCTAGTCATAGGAGTGGCTCTTCATTGACCATAGTCAGTCAGAAAGGAGCGCACTAGAGGGTTGTGGGTAGTACTACCTGTGGATGCCACATAAAAGCCAAGAGCACTAATCTCAGACACAGCATGAAAGTCCCGAAGTGTCTCTCCAAAGAGTTCTGTATTCTGCCTCCCCAAACACCACCTTTTCTTGATCATCAGGCCAGACCTCTGTGGGAAGTAGGCTAGGGGCTTTAATTTATATTTTAGCAAGGTGCCTATTGACACCCAGAGAAACTAAGGAACTTATCAAAGTTTCATAGCAAATCAACCCCACTTTACATTCGAGAGGACAGGTCAGAGATAAAGTCTCTATTGTACGCTGAATTAAAAAATATACTACATAGTTGGAAGCTAGTCTGGGAGGGTCACACAATCACAGCCAGTCTGGGATAAAGTTTCGGGCCAGCATGGGAAACATAGTTAGACACTGTTTCCAAAAATGAAAGAAAATAAAATGAAAATTGAAATTTCAAAGACAGTAGGGGATTGCCCTTTAGGCTAGTGTCCTACAAAGTCAAGTACAACTGAATTTTAAAATAGTGAGCGATAGATTAGAATTACATTTCATCTTTTCCCAACTCTCCCATACCCTTTAATATAGCTCAGTCAAACTCCTTTGCAAAGAAAACCTTCCCAAGAGCCTGAAGCAAGGATTTTGACCTGTGAAACACCTAGCTACTTTTCCTTTTTTCTCACCTACCTGTTCTCTTAGAGGCTTTTTCTTCCATCGCTAATTATCCAATGGCTCTCCTGCATTTACAGAGCCCCAAAGCAGGTCCAGTGGGTGGCATCAAATAGGAAACCCGGAGATATTCGTTGGTTCCTGGGAAGGCTGAGGAAGCGCCCTTGTTAAGGGGTGTGTGCAGTGTTGAAATATTAGCTGCTGTGGCTGCCAAAGAAGTTCCTGAGCCACCCACAGCCTTTTCTCTTCAGTCCAACCATGTGTTCACCTTGCCACAAAGGTCAGTACTAATATTAACAAGTCACTGGAGAATGGGGAAATTAAATCAGCTATTGAGGTGAGCATGAATTGGATTTCCTTGAGGCTGGGCTTCCTATCTGACTTCAGTGCAGTCTGGGCAAAATCTGTTGCTTGAAAGCAATCTGGCAACACGAAGAAAAATGTTCATTTCCCTTGTCCTAGTTAACCCACTCTTGGGATTCAATCCTTAGCCAGCAACTCCCAAAGCATGGAAAAGCTCAAGGCACAGTCTTTTCTTAATTACAGAGCTATTTTCTGATGGCAATAACTAGTAACCTTTAAGTCCTATGGGGGTGGGAAAGCAGCCCACTGTGGCTCTTTCTGCAGCCACAGAGGATGATGGCTCTAAGGCTCTGAAATTCTGAGGGTATGTGTGCTCAAGCACAAATAACTGCAGCATTTTCAGTGAAAAATATTCGGGTGGGAAGTAATATTTTCCCCTAGAAATTGGGCTATGCCTGTTAATTGTTTCTGTGCACTCAAAAAGAAGCCAAGAACCCATTGCTATTGCCCTGTTTATACCCATCTGCTAAATACCTATTCTCTTACCATATATGCTATGTCAGAGATGGCCACTGCATTCAGGCTGTTGGCAATCTAGCGACTACAGAAATCATTGGGAGTTTGCATTGTGGTAAATACTAGGACAGAATGGACCACAGAGTGTAGGAGTGCCCACAGGAAAATACCTAAATGCAGGGGTGCGTGGACAGAAAATTTTAACTCAAAAAAAAAAAAATAAACCTCGATCATTTACCTGAGTAAGAAGGGTTTAAATCTTGGCTCTACCACTTCTGTGAGACTGGGACGAATTTACTCAACTTCTACTTAGCTTCGGCGCCTTTTTCTGGTTTATCCCAAGAATGAAAGGACACAATGTAGACGGGAAAACCACAACTGCATACGGAGACAATACTGCTCTGAAGCTTAAATTTTCCAGGCCTCAATTTTGCTCATCTGAGAAATGGAGCCAAATGCAAGTATGTGCTCTGTGTCATCCTTTACATGCTATGAGAACCAAGACAAATAAGGCTATACAGGGAGGGTTTGAGGAAGTCTCCTGCCTCCAGGCTCAATAAAAACAGAGGTCATTCTCCTAAGCCTTACCGTAGTAGCTAGGTTCTTAATTAACTGCTCCATCTTCCAACTGAAAAAGTTCTCTATGCCATGGCCCAAAGGACACCAGGGGCTGAGGCCACTCAGCCACCGCCAGGGGCCGCCCACTTAAATTGGAGTTCTGCCTCGATGGGGGGTAGGGTTTTGGCTGAATTTGAATTCCCAGTGGCCCGCCCTTTGACAAAGTGACAAAATCCCATTTGTAAGTAACCTGACGCATCAAGGGGACTTTTGTGTCGAGAACAGCAGTCAGACTCGGGCGTCCAGGCCAGCATGCGGCCAGAATTTTCTTCTGGAGCCCAACCAGGGACGCGCTTCTCACCAGTCACTCTTCACAGGCTTTGGACTGGGTCTTGTTATGTAGCCCAGGCTGGCCATGAATTCATGACTGCCCGTGCCTCAGATTCCTGAGTACTGGGGTTATAAGCTTCTACGACCAAGCCCGGTTTTCCTACAGCTTCCACCTTAGTTCCGTCTTCCGCCTGTGAGAACTGAACTCGAAGCCCCGCCCTGCGTGCTTCCTGCCGTCGCGGAGGGGGCGGAGGGACCAGATGAGAACGCCTGCGCACACGCGCATGGAAGGAGGAGCTCTAGCTCACTTCCGGGAGGTGGCCATGAATTTCCGCGCCTAAGGTTGCTTCGTGAAACGGGACAGTTTACCAAAATGTTGCGTGTGGTAAGCTGGAACATCAATGGGATCCGGAGTCCCCTGCAAGGGCTGACATGCCAGGGACCCAGCAACTGTCCCACAGCCTTGCGACGCATTTTGGACAAGTTGGATGCCTATGTTGTTTGTCTTCAGGAGACCAAAGTGACCAGTAAGCATTCGAGAATCCAGGATTTTTACCTTTTTTTCTTCTGCTAACTTTCGCTTCCTGCTCCACCTCCTTTCACTTTTCCGTTTATCGATACTTAGAATCCTGCCCTTATACCCACCCGAAAGTACTAATCCCTTTCCCGTTTAAACCCCTACCCCAGCTAGTGCCCTTAATTCCCACTCCTGTGCTGCTCTCCCAGTTGAAACCCTCGTGCACAGATTCCCGCCCATTCTACCGCCCCAACTCCGTGCCTTGAGTTTTCTCCTTCCACGCCCCCGAGGCAGATTCCTTAGTTCTCCATCCCTGCTCCCATCTCAGTCCTCTAATTCCTACCGCCAGCATCCTTCCAGCAGTCCTCCCATCACCTAGACCATAAGACTTAGTTAGCTCTGATTCGCTCTCCTCAGTTTTTCCCATCTAATTTGAATATCATTTCCCTCCCTGAGCTTTCCATGTTTCCAGCTCCTGTCATAAACACTCCCTCCCCCCAGTTATGGCTCTGATGTACGCTAGTAATTAGCCTGTAACTGTTATTCTAGTCTTTCATGGGTCCATGGTGCTAGTTTTACCTCTGACTTTGTATTACATTTTTTTTCCAGGAGATGTACTGACAGAGCCCCTGGCTGTTGTTGAGGGCTATAACTCCTATTTCAGCTTCAGCCGCAGCCGTAGTGGCTATTCTGGTAAATGGGGTCTTCTGGGGGTATTTAACTTAGTGTTGGTGATGGGGGCAAGTAGCAGTGAAGTGTTTGGGTTTTTAACGAGAATGTAATATATTCCAACTTTTCATCTCCAAAGCTAAAGCTGCATAAAATCTGAGGTTACATTAATATTTATGTACCAGATTATCTTTTTGGCCCTCAGAAGTACAGTAAAAATTGGGTGATCTCTGGAGCTGAACTGCTAGGGTTCAGGCTGTGGCTCACTTCCTAGCTGTGTGTTCGCTGGAAAGTTACTTTACCTTTGTATCTCAGGTTTCTTATCTAGAAAATGAGGTTAATGTTTACTTTCTAGGCTCTTACAAGGGTTTAGACATTTATGCATGTGTTAATACTAATAGCCAATATTTTATCAGCATTTGTCATGTATCTGTGTAATATACATTGTTGTTGTTCTTGTAAAGTAAAACATTCTGTGGCTTTTTTGGTTTTGTTTTTGGTTTTGTTTTTTTTTTTTTTTTTGGTTTTTTGAGACAGGGTTTCTCTGTAGCTTTGGAGCCTGTCCTGTCTCTGGCTTTGTAAATCAGACTGGCCTTGAACTTACAGAGATCCTCCTGCCTATGCCTCCCAAGTGCTGGGATTAAACGCATGTGCCACCACTGCCTGACCATTCTGTTGCTTTTTTTACATGAATCTGAGGCCTCAGGGTATGGGTTAGTTGCTTCAGATTTTACAGAGCCATATAATGGCCCTTGAGTTACATTTAACAGAGATATCAAAAACTATTCCTTGTATGGGTACATTTGGAGTGGAACAGGCTGTACAGTAGTATTTTGGTTGCTGATCCCATTCAGAATACTCTATCTGTCCCCAGGTGTGGCTACGTTTTGTAAGGACAGTGCTACCCCAGTGGCTGCTGAAGAAGGCCTGAGTGGTGTGTTTGCCACCCAGAATGGGGATGTTGGTTGCTATGGAAACTTGGATGAGTTCACCCAAGAGGAACTCCGGGCTCTGGATAGTGAGGGCCGGGCCGTCCTTACCCAGCACAAGATCCGGTAATAGCCTGTATCCTCCTACTACAGACCATCTCTGGTTCTAGTCAGTATCCAGAATATAAGGTCCATCTTTTTTTTTTTTTTTGGTTTTTCGAGACAGGGTTTCTCTGTAGTTTTTGAGTAAGGTCCATCTTATAGGTATGCAGTTGCTATAGTTCACAAACTTTCCTTCCTGGACTCTAGTACTGGGTGGGCTAAGTGATCCTGGCAAATCATGCTTCATTTTGAGCCTTGTGTTCCCCTCTCTACAGTGGGAGTGCAGCTAATTACCACAGGCTACTCAAAAGCTGCTTAGCCAGCATAGAACTCATTGCTCCAAATTGGATTTTTTTTTGGGGGGTATCTCATCATCATGAAAGGCAGAATTATCCTCCAGTTTACCTCGACTCTTAAGCCCTCCTTACTTCACCCAGAGCCTATCCCCTAGACCTGCTCGTGCCTGCTTGCTTGTGTCTTCCTAACCCTTTTTCTTCTATCCCATGGACAACCATTAATTGGGAGCTGCATGGTGTAGCTGTGGACGGGAAGTCTTGGATCTGAACTCTTTGTGTGGGGGCTCTTTTCTTCGTAGCACTTTGGAAGGGAAGGAGAAGACCTTGACTCTCATCAATGTGTACTGTCCCCATGCGGATCCTGGGAGGCCTGAGCGGCTGACCTTCAAGATGCGTTTCTATCGCCTACTGCAGATCCGAGCAGAAGCACTCTTGGCAGCTGGCAGGTATTGTAAATCTAGGCAGCTGGGCTTGGTTGAGTTCATCTTGGTGACTTGCCTTGTGTCGTGCCCCATAAAAGGATATAGCATTTTGTCTTTGAGTTCCTTTACCCTCTAATTTTGAACACTGTCGTGCTGACCTGAACAGGCCTTGCTGTCTTAAGAGCTGTGGGAACAGAGTAAAGTGACATGAACACTGTCTTTGTACTCCAAGCTCTTTGCTTACCATAAACCTCAAGGGCAGCTGCGGTCCGTGTTCTCTTTTTCCAAACGCCTACCCTCAGAGAAGAGTTTTGAGGACAAAACGAGGCAAGAGTGGTAAAGTGCCTAGTTCCAAGGATGGACAGGAAAAAAGTGGGAGTAGGAGCCGGGCGGTGGTGGTGCACACCTTTATTCCCAGCACTCAGGAGGCAGAGGCAAGCGGATCTCTCTGAGTTCGAGGCCAGCCTGGTCTACAAGAGCTAGTTCCAGGACAGGAACCAAAAGCTACGGAGAAACCCTGTCTCGAAAAATCCAAAAAAAAAAAAAAAGTGGGAGTAGGTTAAAGTAATCAAGGGGCACTTCCTCCAAGCAGTGGTGTCTGAGCTCAGTTTTGAAGG